ATATATATATATATATATATATATATATATATATATATATATATATATATATATATATATATATATATGAGTAGAAATCAATGCATAGTACGAATTGTGTATTGCTTAATTAATTCATTGCTATTGCTTAACTAATTCATTCAAATACATAAATATTTCATTTCCAGTATTTCACTTTGTTTTAAAATTGTTTGTTAATTTCATTTCATCATATTTCACATATCATATTTATATCATTTTTGTATTCAATGATCACATTGATATGCTTTTTTTCTTTTTAAGAAACAAAAGCAATTTGATACTTTAACTAAACAGTAACGACCAATTTAGGATACGACTGAACATCGAACTCTCTTTTTGTTACATTGATTTATCTAGTGATAAGTAATGAAAAATCATTCTATCATATCTATTTATTATAGTTATCACCTCTTCCAATATGTAATTAATTAATAAGACTAATTGACAGTACATTGGATGTAGTTGATTGATCTCTCGTTTGGAAATTAATTAAAATTATTTAAATATATACGTATGTACACTTATTATAGACAGAAGAAATGAGCATGGATTAAACTTCAATGCATTTTTTAATCTTCCGTGAGAATTTGCAATTCTTAAACTGTTGGCTTTGTATTAAAAAAAAAAAAAAGTGGGAACAAATTGCAATCATTAAGTAGCACACTGATAAGATTAATTACTTAACAGAAGACAAGTAAACGAATTTGATTAACTTTTTCTATTTCTAATGATCGATTTGATTATATTTCAATCTAACGAAACAAAACGTCTCTTACCCCTTCCCTGAAATATGTTATATGTTTATAATCGTTTGCTTAACGAATTATCCATACTTCGATGACATTGTTAATCAGTTTGTTAAGTGTACTCTATCGAAATGCGCCAAGTTTCCACTTCAAAAACAATTTAATCTTTACATTCAGCTTAATGATATTGCAAGGAGGTGAAGCCAAATATCGCATGATGATAATATAAACAAACATAGATGCACTAGGCTTCTTAAAGGTTCTAGAAAATGCTAATCCAAAATTTTAGGAAGCATTAGAAGCTTGGATATGCTTTAGGGCATATGTATGCATTCTCTACTAATTGTTCCTAAAATAATTTTAGAAAAAAATTGAAAATATTCGAAATTTTATTTATGGCAAAAATGTAACAAAGATATGGTACATAATTTACTCCAATTATTGATTTAAATGTGAATTCGAGAACATTTGAATCGCTAACGATGTAGAGTTAAAGATTTCAGAACTTGAACACCGTAATCCCTTGAAGAAAATTTGCTGATAAACTTGAAATTTAATTATGCTACTTGGATTCCAATTACCCTTTCGTATTTTTTATCACTTCCCTTAATTGATCAATGATTACTGGATTTCATTGTGATTCACATTATATGGGTAACTTTATTAATGGTTGATAATATGAATTTTTAATCTGTTTTGCTTGAGGATTATTAATTTACTTACTTGTTTATTGGAATTAATTAGCTGACTTCCTCGTCCTCTCTCTCCCTCTCTCCCTCTCTCTTTCAGTTTTCTTATTTCACTGATTGTATTCATTGAAAAACAAATTAGTATGGATTAGTTAGAGGGCAGCAAGTTCAGACTTAGTTAGATTTAAATCCAATTAATTTGATATTATTTCAAAGGAATCTTTTCACATACAGAGACAAACCTCTTAGACTATTGACTTGTGTTTGCTTAAAATTTTATGAAATCTTTGCAAAAACATATTTAACAATTGCGCTTTACGATATTCGATAGTTGAAGGCTTTTCTTTCGATATTTACCTCTTTTCTTCACTTTAAAAACTGATAAATTTAAAAAATTTTGCTCCAAGCAGCTGCGATTTTTTTTTTCTTTAAATGACTGACAAGAGAAAAGAAAAAGAAAGAATTTCCCTCATTTGTATGATATATTCATGTTAATATTGTTTTGGTTGGCTTATTATCAACAAAAACTTCTAAAAGTAATAAACAAAAAACAAAAAAAAAGAAAAAAAGAAAAAAACGCAAAGTATTTCTTTACACATTGCAAGTTATGAAAATTTTCGAATTTAATTCGTAAAATAACGAATAGAAAGATTTTAC